CTTTAAACCCAATCGCAACGTCATAAAAGAGTGACTCAACTTGTGTTCTTTGAGCTGCGGGAATGTTCACAACTTGGTCCACGGCTTCTTTAGAAGCTTGGTCTAGCGTGCGCTCATTTTCTGTCTCAGCCATTCTCTTGAGTTCTTTTCCAGTTCAAAGTTTCTATTTTCTTAGAAAGACTAATTATTTTACAGCGAACTTAAAGTCTCATTTTCTAGTAACTTTATTAAGAACTGTGTTTCGGGATATTATAATTGGATTTGCACAAGACCCCGTTCGTGACCAGTTATTTAAAACACAAATCGCAGTGTTTAGTCATTTCAAAAACTTGGTTTTTTATCGAGAAGAAAAGGAAAAAACACTTTTGAGAATGTGTGGTCTCTATTATAGTATAATACTATTTATTTTAGTATATCTCTAATATCTTTTAACAAATGGAAAACAAAAATACCCAAGAATTCCAAGTTAAAAAAACAGATTGAATTTTTTTGCTTTTTTAGTCGACTCAAAATATTTTTTTTATTTTTTATTTCATCATTTTTAATATTTTTTTGTTTTTTTTTTCTCTAACCATAAAAAATAATAATTAATGATTAAAATATCTATATATAAACTAGATATTAAATAATTTAAAATTTTTTGTTAAATTTGTCCGTTCTATTTTATTTTTACATACCCATTTTTATTTTAATTATTATTATATAAATAGACTTTTTTTTAGGCAAATTATTGAAAAATAAATTATCGTATTGATTTAGTTAATAATTATTATTATATATCATTATAAAAAAAATTAAATTGAATAATATTGGTAATTTTACTATAATATATAACAAATTTATAGTAATTTTTTTGATGATTTGAAAATGGTTTGAGTATAGAAAAATAGTTATAGTAATAATAGTTTTAAAATGTTAATAAGGAAAGTAAATTTTTTAGATAATATAATTATTAATTTAAGTATAAAAATGAATAGTATAATACTATACTTAACACTTAAAATAACGCCCTTATTTTTGTTTTGACCTGTTTTTACAGGGATATTAATCGAATTTTTGATTATTTTCCTTTTTTTGGCTTGTGTATTGTTTATGCAAATAAAAAAAACTCTAAAAAAACGGAAATTTATTTAATAAACTCGATATTTCCCCGATTTTTAGACCACTTGAATTTTGTTCAATGTTATTTAAAGTGTTAATAAAAAAGTCAAATGAATTATGTTTATAACTCAGTTTTCTCTTCTTTTTTCTCTTCTGTATGAACTTCTTCGTCGTTAACTGCATCTTCATCTTCATCAACGTCTTCTTCTTCTTCGTCATCCTCCTCTTCTTCAGTATCACTTTCTTCCTTTTCTTCTTTTTTCTCTTCTTTCTTTTCTTCGGGGAGTGGTGCTGGCATTTCAAACTTATAAAGAGCATTTTCATGTAAAAACTTCATAGTATTTTCTTCACTTGGCATATCAGTCATTTCAAGAGTTTTAGTCTCTCCATCCTTCTCAGAAACCAAATACAATTTTGGCACGATATTCAAGTTCCATTCAGGTCCAACGTCATCAGTGGAGGCGTCAATCCACGCGACCTTAAATGAAGGAACTGTGCTCAATCTTTTCGAGACTCTCTTAAGTGGGGTCGACAAGAAATACTTGCACACCTCGACTCTCTCGACACAGAAAATGACCAATTTATCAACTCCTTTTGTTGCGATAAACTCGTCAAAGTTATTTCCAGTTAACTTATAAATTTCCTTTTGCTTTTCTTCTGGAATTGGTTTGCTCTTGTGGTACGTTGGTTTTTCATTCCCCGACAAGACATCTTCAAGATACTTAGTCACACTTTCCTCGGTGATTTCAGTCTCTTCATTCATAGCATAGATGTTTCTCTTATTTTTGTGGATAATAGAAATAGCAGGGTACACATTCCCGGTGTGGTGGAGGGATTTCACTTGGTCTTCCGAAATGACTTTGTTGAACGAGAAGAAGACAAATGATCCTTCGTACTTCTTTGCAAGTTTTCTAAACATTTCCTCGTGTACTTTTGGAATGCTAGTTTGGTAGAAGTACCATAAAGCGTAGACGTCCATAGACTCTATTCTTTTGAATAATGGCATATTAACTTGATGGAACAATGGGAACGTTTTGATATTAGCCCAATTCATAAACTTCTTCTCTTCAAATGTGGCGTTGGTCTGCGCTTCATACACAAAACTTTCTTTTGTATCACCGTTGAATACCTCAATCTCAAAATTGTCAATATCCGAGTTCAACGCATAGAAGTGCATGTAATCCATTTCATCAACTATATCCTCAAGTCTCTTTCTGATGGGGTCGTCTGCCTCACTTCTGACAACCAAGAAAGGTAAGTCCTTCTTTTTAAGCTCTTCGATCTCTTCTTTGTTGGATTCCTTTACTGGGGGCATCGCAGCAGACTCCAACCAATTCTTCATCGCCTCCAAATTTCTCTCACCGCCATACACCTTTTTGGCTCTTCCTTTTCTGAAGAGAATAAGTGTGGGGAAGCCCTGGACCTCTTCCTTCTCGCAGATTTCTTTCGAGTCTTCGCAATTCACTTCTGCAAATTTGAGTTTGTTGTGCATCTCCTTTGCAAGTTGCTCGTAAATTGGTTTAAGTGCTTTACAGTGACCACACCATGGCGCGTAGTACTTCACAAAAACAGTGTCTTCGTGGTCTATGAAAGATCCATAGAACTCGTTGTTCAATGTAAACATCTCAAATTGAAGGTCTTTGATGCTTTCTGGAGCTTGTTTTGCTTCTTCCTTGGGAACTTCTTTGGGGGCTTCCTTCGAAGCTGCTGCTGCGGCTTGTGATAAAGCCACAAAAAGAAGGACAAAGAGCAACATTGATTTTGAAGATCTTAATGAATTCTTTTCACCTTTATTTCTCTAAGCCAGAATGTTAGTTCTTCCCATCTCCTTTTTTACTATAAATCTCCTTATTTCTTTAGTAATTTAATATATAAAAGTATAGTTCAAAATAACATAATAACAAAACTAATAACAAAAATCACATTGTGAAAAAATGGTTTCTTAAAAATAGAATAACTATATTAATAAAGTTTTATTATGGTATATTAATAGTTATTGCCATTGATTAAAGATCAGAACATATCTTTTGGTCAAGAAATGAATAGTATCATTTATAATAAAATAATAATACTCCCCACTACAAGAAAACGAAAAGAAATAAATATAAACAAACCCACAGTTGTTCAATCAGAAGCCAACAGGTGGTGACGTGTCACTGTGACACCACTTAAAAACTTGGAAAGGGAACTGAAATAAGAATGCTTGTCCTTCTTGCATTTGTCGCCATACTCGGCGTATTTGCCCAAGAGAAACAGACCTTCGACGTCGAGGTCTCAAGACTGATGAACTTAATCATTCACAGTCTTTACACAAACAAAGAGGTTTTCCTTAGAGAGTTGGTCTCGAACTCCGCTGATGCGTTAGACAAAGTCAGGTTTTTGGCTTTGACTGACAAAAAGCTGAATATTGATACAACGGCGTTGAGAATAAGAGTGAGCATCGACGCAGATAAAGGAAGAGTTATTGTCGAAGACAATGGTATTGGAATGACCAGAGAAGAACTTAAGACTAACTTGGGAACTATTGCTAAGTCTGGTACTGCCGACTTTATAAAGAAACTTGAAGCTGCCGATGATAAGTCACTCATTGGACAGTTTGGTGTGGGTTTCTATTCGTCTTATTTAGTTGCAGAGAACGTTACTGTGATATCGAGAAAAGTTGGTACTCAAGACACTAATGCTTGGGAGTCGAATGGTGATGGGTTCTTAGTGAGAGACTTGGCCGAAGAAGAGGCTCCAATCGAGACACAAGGAACTCGAATCATTCTTGAATTGAAAGACAAGTACTTTTTGGATGAAAATGTCTTGAAAGAGTTAGTTTCCAAATACTCTGAGTTCATTCAGTTCCCAATTCAAATGGAAACTGTTGTGAAACATGAGGAAGAGGTTGAAGATACCGATGCGATGAGAAAGGAAGCCACTGAAAAGGCTAAAGCCAAGATCGAAGCTGGAGAGAAGGAAAAAACAGAGGAAGAGTTGATTGAAGAAGAAATGAAGACAATGGAAAAGAAAATGAAGTTTGTCACTAAGAATAATACCGAGTGGCAAGCTATCAATACTAATAAACCAATTTGGATGAGAACTGATGTCACTGAAGAGGAATATAACGACTTCTATAAGGCTCTTACCAAAGAAAAGGAAAACCCATTAGCAAAGATCCACTTCAACACTGAAGGTGACTCTGTTTTCAGAGCTTTGTTGTTCATCCCATCGAAAGCAGTCAATCCGTTCGCGCCAAAAGATGAAGAGAAGATGAAGCAAATGTTAAGACTCTACGTCAGAAGAGTCTTTGTTTCAGGTGACTTCTATAAGACCATTCCAGAGTATTTGAACTTCATTAGAGGTGTCATTGATTCAGATGATTTGCCATTGAACGTTGGAAGAGAAATGATCCAAGAGAACAGACACATCGACAGAATTAAACGGAAAGTCGTTCGAAAGGTTCTTCAGTTGATTCAAGACCTCAGTGAGACAAATGTCACCGTTTTCAACAATTTCATGAAAGAGTACTCCGTTCAAATGAAGATCGGAGCTATCACCGATGTCCCAAATAGAGGAAGAATTGCTAAGTTATTGAGATACCACTCATCAGTCTCTGGAGACGAGATGATGTCCTTTGATGATTACATCAAGAGACTTAAAGATAACCAAACTGACATCTACTACGTCTGTGCTGACTCATTGGCAGAGGCTAAAAACTCCCCAGTTGGAAAGAGTGCGGTTGCTGCTGGTTTCGAAGTCATTTATATGACCGAGCCTGTCGACGAATCTGCCTGCAGAGGTATTAACACTTACGAAGGAAAGACGCTTGTTGATCTTGGAAAGGAAGGGTTTGGTGTTGAGAAAGAAGACAAGGAATTTGACTCGATGAAGTCATTCATCACCGACTTGATCCCCGAAGTCACAAAGGTCGAAATCTCAAAGAGCCTTGGCAACATTGCTGCTGCTGTTGTGTCTGGAAAGGACGGATTAACAGCCAACATGGAGAAATTGATCAGAGCACATGCCACTGCGAATAAGAAGGATTTGGGATTCGAAACAACAAAGAGAGTCTTGATCTTGAACTCAGAGCACGACATCGTCAGAAAGATCGACGAGCTTATTGTCGACAACAAGAACGAAGAGGCTGAGTTGTTTGTTAAAGGGTTGTATAATACTGCTTTGATTCAGTCTGGATATCCAGTCACCAATTCAAACGAATACGCTATGTGGATTCAATCTTTAGTCCAGAAGGAACTGAACTCCCTCGAGCCAAAAGAGAAGACTGAAACTAAGCCAGCCGCACCAGAAGGTGTCGAAGATATCATCAATGAACAAAAGAACGAAGAGGTGAAGACTGAAGAGAAGAAGACTGAGTTATAATACCTTTAAATCGTTTTTAAGTTTATTAGGGTTATTCTATTCAACTATAGTTATTTTTACTATTGATTAACCATTCTATTAATAGACTAGATGCTATTAATTAATCGAGTCTAAAAACACAAAAGACAATCAAAAGATGAAATTAAGTTGATTCATCGTTGCTAACATTTCGCCGTCAAAGTATTTTTCAATGTCAGCATCATCAGTAAGACCTTTTCTTCTTCGTGTTTTCATCATAAATTCTCGTGCAAGATAAGGCTGTGGGTTTGGTTGTAAGTTGAGAGGCTTGATTTCTTTATCAAGAGGATCACCAGGGACAATACCCCATCGCTCAAATCGAGACTGAACAAATGCCTGTCCTCGCGTGAAGAAACGAACATCAATTTCAAACCCAAACATGTCCATCAAAGGTAACGACGCATACATCGCGATAAACGGGGTGCCATCTATTGCCTTGACACTATCCACAAACCCCCTTCTCTCTCGTATACTCTTTTCAATTCGACTTCGAGCAACTTCTGGCGTCAAGATTTCAACAGAGTAAATCGGCTCGAGTAAGACTGGGTTTGCCAATATTATTCCGGCGTATATAGCCTTTCTCATCGCTTGCATGATTTGCTGTGGGTCTGCATTCTCTTCCAAGCTTGCCTCAATGATTCTCACTTTACAATTCATCATCTCCTCTTCACACAATGGCCCCGTTTTCATTGCCCAATTAAATCCAATACCACATGACTGCGATACCTTGTACACTTGACTTCGAGTATTTGGGTCTAAAACATCGTTTTCGAGCATATTTGGATTATTAGAGATACTCATGACTGACTTGCTCTCTAAAATATCAACGTTGAACTTGTTTCGAAGGATATTAGGAAGATCGCCACACATGTGAATGTTACCAGATGATATCCCGTCACATATCTTTTCGTCAAGCGGTTCAACAATGACTCCAATTTTGTTTTTCTTGTTTCCAGACATCGAGATGCTTCTCATCTGCGACTGAACACTAATAGACTCTCTAAATACTACCATTGGGTCACTCACTCGCATTTCAAACTCCCCAAACATCAATCGAATGTCACGTAGTAGGCAGTCCAAATACATCTCACCGTATCCAATGATATTCAACTCGCCACTTTCTTCGCATTTGACCTGACTCCCCGTGTAGCACTGGACTGCTCGTGTAATAGCTTTCCGCACCAATTGCGTTTGAGCTGGGTTCAGTGGTTCAACAACAATTTTCATTGTTGGAATTGGCGACTTATAGAGACAAATATCTTCTGTTTCAGTTGTACCATCACCATATATTGTCCCACTCTTCTCGACGTTGTTCTCGATGCCATGTACAACACAAACACACCCACACGGTATTTCGCTGGGCACAAAGTATCTCCCCATGTTAATCGAAACCTCATTGATGTCACATTGTAGGGAGTCTTCTTCCATCTTATCCAACGTATTATTGCACAATTGACCATTGAGAATTGTGTACTTCCCTTTCTTCAAAACACCACTCCACACTCTGACTATTCCCAAATTCTCGTGACACGTTTTGTCGGGAGTCATTCGCAAAACACTTGCAACAACAATTCCATCTGGGGAACACACATCGACAGCACTTTTAATACTCGAATTTTTGATATCATTAATACGTTTCCCACCAATAGTGGAGTCTTGAAGCCCAAACAAAACATCTCCTATGCTTGTCATATTCAACTCACCAAAAAACTTAGAAAATGCTGTTCGAAGTATCGACATGTTATTCATCTTGTTTTCGTCCCCTTCCAATTTCACTCCAAATCTCCTTAACGCCTCTTTGAGTTGTTTTCCTTCGAATGATATGCACGACACAGTCAGCTTGTAAATGGGTTCTGCGACAAACTCGACAAACGCTCTCTTTGAATTTTCAGTGAGTTTCGTGAATTTGTGTGTTTTGTGGTCGAATGCGAAGTCGCCCCACAAGTTCTTTGCAAATACCTTTGGGTCGAATGGAATAGCTCCTCGTAATTTCTGTTCCAATGTTGGTTGGCACTTTTTTGGGATGTATTTGACTGCAAACGACTGAAGTGTGAAGAAGATGCCAAACACAGAAGATTCAAAAACAACGGAATTGTCTTCTGGAGATACGGGTACCCCACCGTATGCACGTATTTCAGAATTGACATCGATGACTACCTCTCGCACTTTACAGTAAAAATCTTCTGGTGGGAGTTTCAACTCCACAATAAGTCTGTCTATTTTACTCAACACCAGTACTATTTCTTTGTGGTGCAAAATGGCTTCTTTAATAACGTCTCGTGTTGTTTGGAGTACCCCCTCACTCACATCGACTACTAACAGCAACGAGTCCATTAAAGATAAGGATGTCACTCTTTCATCAATGAAATCACAGTGACCAGGAGTGTCTGCAATATTCACTACAAAATGACCATTTCGTGTAGTTGGCAGACATAATGTGATGTAATTGGTTTGAAGGCTGATCTTCATTTTCTGTTCATCGAGTCTGTTATCTAAATAGTGTTGCGTCATCTTCTCGACGTCAATTTGTTTCTCGTGCGTGTACTGATAAAATACATCAACAAGTTCAGTCTTTCCATGGTGTAAAGCGCCTGCTATTGCAATGTTTCTGATTTTCGACGTGTTCTTCATCAACTCCTTCAAATACTCAAAGTTGGTGTTACTCAGTGGGATGGAGTCAAATTCATTTTTGATCACTTTTTTATTCTTCGGTGGTATAATTGGGGTGTCCAATGACTGTTCGTCTTCATCTCTAAACAACACCTCTACGTCTTCGCCATATACGTCTTCAGCGGTGTGATAATACTCTTTGTCCTCATGAAGAACTATTTGGTTATCGGGAAGAGCATCGGAATTATCTTCTTCCATTAAACAAAGATTGGGTTTGTCGGGAGAGTTATGTTCAGGAGGTGGCGGGTTTTCTGCATTTGGTTGATCAGGTAAAGGCGATGTGTGACTTGGGATGGTTGGGCCTAAATAATTCCCAAATTCATCGAAGTTGTCCATTTGGTTTTTTTAGTACTTTTTTTTACTGATTGTATATTATAAAATATTGTTAATGATAATTGACATTCAAATTATTCTATAATACATTATAGTTTTATTAAATTAATTACTTTTATATATATACCTAACTATAATTAAATTTTATATTTTATTTTTTAAAAATTGTAATTATTTTTATAGTTTAAGATATATCAAAATATAGTACAATAATATTTCATTATTTATTTTATATTATCTATAAATTATAACGGAATATTTAAAATTAAATAATTAGAAATCAATTATATAACTTATAAAATAATAGAAATTTATTTCCGATATTATTGATTAGATTTTTTTTGACAAAAAAAAATTGAATGTTTTTATAAAAACAAATATAGTAAATAAATTAAACTTAATAATAAACTTATTTAAAAATGAAAAAAGAGGGAACTTTATAATTAGAGGGGGTGATGTGTTCAATTTTTCTCAACCAGACTGTAATATGGTCGGCAAACCCAGTCATGTATTGTGTTTGTACTGTTGTATCTCATCAAATGTTTCTTTCAAATTATCAGAATGTCGAGACACCTTTTGTTAGTGGTTCTGTGCTTAGACAAGGAAAATGTTCAAAGGAGGGGAGAACAAAAAAGCATGACATACTTCAAATTAAAACAAAAGAAGGGTATATATGGGTTAAGGCATCACTTCTTGGAAATGGAATCATTAAGATGGAAACTGTTCCAAGACTCAACTCAACTGCTGAATTCAGAGAAAAGTTACTCAATTTCAAAAGTAGAGATATGCCAAAGCCCTCGGGATCGGCTTATAAAAAGATGAAGGAGGTTGTTACTTCTGATGTTCTTACTAATCTATTCAAAACGTGTTCAGATCCATCGAATATAGTTCAAGCAAGATTCGATAAAATACCACTGATAACTCAAAATGTTCCTACTTATATATGCAAAACAGAAGAAGAAGTCAACAGAAGAATAAAGAGAATAATTGAAAATGCGAAAGAAATATATGACTGCGCGGCGGTTGTCGACTTAGTCATTCAGTTTGCAGTTGAATATTCACAAATATTAGTGCTTTGGCGATTAAAAAACGATTTATTTGGTTATGAAAAAGAAATAAAAGACCACTGTGAAAAGATAGGACGGATGTTAGGGCTAATCCACATCATCAACACTCAGCCATTAAGTCAGCATCTTGACTTAGTAGTGGCATGTTGGGATGTCACACAGAAAATGGATGATGTTATTGTTGATTCTGGTCACATAATGAAAGAGAATCGTCTGTTCACGTGGAACGAAAAAAATAAGAAGAAATTCAACGAAGCCACGAAAGCTTCCAATCCTTACTAAAAGTTCTCAAACAATAACACATTACTTATTTAGTCGTCTCTTATCCTTCTCAGTAATAAGAACATAACAAGTGTCAAATCAATTATTGCCGTTGTCTTTTTTCGAGAAATGTACTGCGAGGATAATCGCTACGATGACGGCGAGAACAATGAAAACGGCCCCAACGATCAAGAGGATGAATAACAATTTTCTTGAAGCCTTTTTTTGGTAGGTTTGAGCCTTTCCGACTTCCTCCACGCCTTCCGCGACTTTAGTATCAGCCGTCATTACATTGTCATAAATATTGTCCAACTGCGTTTGTTGGATTTCTGCAAGGAAGTGGAGTTTAGTGAACCCCGTGTTCAAGTCTTTCATTCGAGTTGTAATATCACTAATTTGTTGAGTGTCGTCTTTATGCATTTCCATAACCAAATTGCTTTGGTCTGTGAGTCGACTTCCATCATCGTATCCAATAAGTGGTTGATTCTCAGCAGTACCTTGATCGCCAAATGATTGTTGTGGGGGTGGTGGCATATTAGCTTCAATTGACGACCCGAAGTCGATGTATTGCTTTACTTTAGCAGAGAAGTTCAGTTGAGGGTTGTCCTCTATAGTGCTTTCGGGGACTTTCTCTGCCTTTTCAAGCGTGTTTGCTAATTGGTTGATCGCCTGGACTAATTCAGTCTTTTTTTGGTTGTAGAGAGTGACGTCACTGTTTTTCGATGCGTATTTGAGCTTCGACAAAATGCCGTCGACCGTCTTTTTTTGCGCTTGTAACTCGTTTAATATTTGTTGTGGATCCATCTCAATTTACTAGTTCTCCTTCTTTTCAAATCTAAACAATCTCAGACTATGTTCATTGTGTCAAATTAAATCCAGATTGGCGCATTTTTTAGTTGATTTGGTGGTGTTTGACGTGTTTTTTCGGGATAGAGTTTTTTCAAATCGCTTTTTAACTATTTTTATTCGCCGAGTTTTTATTTGATTTCCCAAAAGTCCAGAGTTACATTTTATTTGAGCTAAACATCACAGAAAATGTTTTGAAAAAACACACCTTTGGGAAGTTTCATTTCAAACTTGTTAATTGATTTTTCTAAAACTATTGTATTAATTTTTATAATTTGAATATAGTTTATTTATGTTTAATTTATAACTATTTTACAACGTTTGATTATGATTAAAAACAATAAAAAAATAAATAAAAAAAATTGAACTTTTCAATTATAATAGTAATATAATAAATAAAACTAACTATAATATATAAAAGAAATGATAAGAAAAGATATACAATTGATAAGAAGATTGTAAAAATGTGGAACAAAACGACAAAAGTATTCTCCTTATAAAAGAAATTACTTCTTTGGTTGCAATTTCTTCTTGATTCTCAAATCAGCAGCGTGTCCACATTTTTTCTTTCTGCAAGTTGTTGCTCTCAGCGGGAGTCTCGCATAGCATCTTCTGCAAATCATTTTGTCGCAGTTGTACTTCTTAGCAATGGCCTCAAGAGCTGGCTCAATTCCCATTTTTAGAAGTACATTTCCAAGTTCCAGGGTTCCTTTGTTTCTGTTCAAAGTAATTTTACACCACTTCTACTCATGTATTCGGGAATTTAGAATTGTAAATTCTAGTTTGTATTTTAATTTATTTATAATATCAATTAAACTATTTTTTAAAATAGTAAAAAAATATAATAGAATAACGTTATTTAATAGGATTTTGTATTTAAGAATTAACTAATTATTTGTTATTCGAAAACTATATTTTTCATCTTTTAGGATTGATTTGTTGAGTAAAAAATTTTTTGGATTTCATAGAAAAATTCTTACTTGAATTATTTAACATATTACAATACTAATATCTAATATTTTAAAATTAAGAAAAACAAAAGGAAAATATTTTGCTTAATATAATAAAATTCAGCATTTGCCCAACGACTTTTTTATTAACATCAAACACACTATCGTGTGTGTTAAATAGCACATTTTCTGAAACACCACTATTATTATTGTTTTTTATCTTTCTTTGTGCGTTTATAAACAACAACCTTAGTTGACACACTTTCTATTATGATTTTGTTTATACAAACAATTCAAATCCTAATTTCAATATACTTTTTTCAATGTTAATAAAAAATAAAAAACAAACTTTTTATTTGTGAACAAAAGTCCATTTTTTTGTTAAAATACAGGAAATTTGGGAAATTCTTAGCAACTATTTATGAATAAAATAAACTTGCTTCTTTTAACTCTAAAAAATTGCGTCTAAAATTTCCAATTCTTTTCATTTAATAATTGATAAACAATCAGACACTTTTTAGTTGTTTTATTCGAAAGTAAAATCAAAAACAAATAAAAAAGAAACTACAAAACATGCGCAAACTTGCCTTTTTTAAGAAATTATTTCAATGAGTTGAAACACAATTTATTTTTTTTAATTGAAAAACTATTAATTTTTCTTTTTGAAAAGAACTTCACATTTACAAATAAAGTAAACTCGTTGTATTTTGACGTTTTTCACTTCATTTCGGAAATCATACACCCCAAAAACGCTTCATTCACACAAATCTCTTCCACAAAACACAAAAATTGCAATAATCCAATCAATCATCGAATTTGTAGTTGCTAAATTTCTGGTCGTTAGTTTTCTAAGTTCTTCGACACGAATGAATTCAGTTCGAATAGCAAAATGACCATAAGTAAACAAATAACAAACGGAAACATCATGTGAGTAGTTGCAGTTATCTCCCTTTCTGCATGTTCCAGTGGTGAAAAAGTATTTGCACGGCTTTGTGCGGTAGAGCTGGTCGACACTTATAAACTGCTTTCCTGTCGACGGGATGTGCTGAAAATTGCACTCGTCACCTTTTCTGCAAAATCCGTATCTCTGATAAAAAAGACAAGGCTGAGTTCTCCACTTGTTTTGGTAGGGTTCTTGTAACGGGATGTCCAATTGTTCGGGCCCATTAAAATGGCTTGGATTGCTCTGTGGTCTTTTGAAGGGGTTTCCAAAGAACTCGTTGTGTACGAAAGGGGGTGCTTGAATGTCGAAAAGTTTTGAACTAACAGTTGCCTTGAATGCTGGTTTTTTGTCAACCTTTTCTTTTGAGTCTGTTTCATAGGGTTGATCCTTGTCTTGCTCGTCAGAGTCGCTTTTCCCGATGCATTGTGAGTTCAGCTCGGGTGTACCCGTCTTCTTGTTTTCCATTTCTTCTTCTTCCTCGTCATCACCAATGATCTTTGAGAACATCGGGTCTGTTTTCTACTGATGACACACTCCTCTACAAAATAAAATAAGAGTAACCCAAACCTGAAGCGACATGAAGTACTTTTTTTCTTCTTCGGTGGGGACTGCATCGAGCTCGTCGGAGACAAACGAGCTCAGCATAGAATTTTCTTGGCTGGAGAACAGTTCGTATATCGAGCTGTCTTTGGAGAGTGATGTAGGGACAACGTATTCGTATTTGTTCATTATGCTATTTCTTCCTTGTGAGTACCACTAAACTTTGTAGTTCAATTTGCTTTATATCCAATGTACATCAGACCCCATTTTTGGACTTCTTTTTTTTTAATTTGGGTTTTTCTTTCCCATTTTCCATTTTTTTCGCACTTTAAATATCCTATCGTTCTACCATAATAATCCCGTCGAATCACAATTTTTATCTTTATTTTTCAGTTATTTTTGTGAGGAACTGAAATCCTGCATTTTTATAGTTTTTTTCACCATTTATATTGTTTTGTTGTTTTTTAAATTAGTTTTATATTTTTTGAAAGTTTTTTCATAGTTTTAATTTTACTTTTGATTTTTAAATAACATTTATTTATCCCTAATATTTGTTTTCCTCATATTATTATGTTATAATAAATTTAATTATAAAATTAATTCAAAATAAGTTTATTATTTTATACAAAATTATTAATATTACAGTCAT